CTCCTGCAGAAAATAATCTCTAACAACAAAATTCCATAGCTGTAAATATCAACCTTGGCCGTGATAGGCAACCTATTCAACCATTCAGGGGCCACATAACCTTTCGTTCCCCTGATTCCGGTTGTGGTTAGAGTTTGGTCGATTTTCAAAAGCTTGGCTAGTCCGAAGTCAGAAATTCTTGCCGCGAAAGAGTCATCGAGAAGAATGTTTTGAGGCTTGATGTCACAATGTACGATTTTTCTGCTGCACTCCTCATGCAAATACAACAACCCTCTTGCAATTCCCAGTGCAATTTGCCTTCTCTGGCACCAGCTTGGCCTCAACTCTCCGAAAAGGAAGCTCGCTAAAGATCCGTTGCTCATGAACTCATACACAAGCATTTGGTGCTCTCCCTCGTAACAAAATCCAAGCAGCTGGACTAAATTTCTGTGGTTTGTTCTGCCAATAGCACTCACTTCCGCTTTGAATTCCAAATCATTTTCTCCGACCCTAGCGACTAAGCATTTGACAGCAACGCTCTTCCCATTATCAGGGGCTAAAACTCCTTTGAAAACTATTGCAGAAGTACCGCGTCCTAGTTCTTCCTCGAATTCGTTTGTAGCGTTTTTTAGCTCCTCATAAGTGAAATGCCTCAAATTCATATCAGAGATGACTCGATAAGGCTGAATCAGCTTCGCTTTTCTATAAGCAATACGAAAAACAATCAAATAGGTTGTTAATAGCAAGATCAAGTTCAGAAACCCCGAGCTACTCAGGAGCACTGATCCGATGAGGATCAAAGTTGAGCGATCTTTCTTTTTTGTATTTGGAACTTCAGGTATCAAAGTATAGTTGTCTTTCCTTACTTTGATGAGAGCTTTTCCACCAACAGTCGGGTCCATCCTTCCGTTTGAAAGAGGAATTCTCTTCTTTTCACACTCTCCATTCTTGAAAATGGCGACGGCACAAAAACAATCATCGAAGCAATTCTGTCTACACCAATCCTCATCTACCGGTGTAAATTGCTCATAACCACCGCCAGACCACTCTGTGTTTTGCATCTCACGAAATTCAAAACTCTCTGTCTCAGGCGAGGCCTCATCACAACTTTGTGAAACAAAGTTTTGCTTGCATCCTTTCAAGACATCATTGGGATCAATCAATGTGTAGCCATAAGGACATTGGCAAGTTGGTCCTTCATCATTATAGCTGCAGAGGCTGTTGTATCCACATGCACCACTGCCTGCGTCTCCTTCAATTGTTAAGCAAATATTCGAAGGTTCGGAGGTCAAAGGGGACCAAGCCATGGGGCTTCCGGCACTTGAGGCAGCGGTTTTAGGATGAGCAGAGTGCCTCAAAACTCCGTCATGCTCCAGAGTTACTTTATGGTAGAAATTTTGCGTGGAAATTGTGTTGGATGATATCATATTCAGTACGCTTCCATTCCTTGCAGTAAGGTATAGATAGCCAGACTGATTGAAGATGACCTGAAAGCCGGTATTAGTCGAGGTTGCATAGTAAGCAAAATTGTTTGTCTCCAGTGGGAATTTCGTTGTGTAAATCGTGAGATTTCCATCAGATTGTAGCGAAAACATGAATCTTCCCCGTGAGTAATTTGTTGCCGTGTAGCGCGCAAAGAGTTTGTCATTCTGATTTAGAATCTGTGCAGGTAGTATTGTATCCGTTGGTTCACCAAAACTCTCCCACACATTGGATGAACTTCGATCTGCCAGCACAAAATTTCCAGTGTCTAGCATGGATGCATAGGCAACTCCAAGACTAATAGATTGAGCAGACCATATGCGCTTGCCGGTTGCATCGTTCAGCATAAACTCGCCACCGTTCGAAAGCTCAACTTTGGATCCCCCTGGCACTAGATTATCCCCATTGGCTGACCAGACAATAGTTTTATCTTTTATCTTATCGAACCAAATGGCTAGTAGGAACCCATCTTTTCCGATTCTTTGAAAACCGAAAGCAAAGTCGCCAGATGGTGATGTCCATGATGATGAGTTATCATCATTTAGTGCAGTGAGAGATGAGCCTAAAGAAATGTTTTTGGAGGTTTGAGCTAGGGTGGAAAATGGTAGAAACATGAAAAGGAAGAAGAAGGGAAGATTTATCAGTGGACAAGCCATGGGAAAATTACAAAGGTGACGAAATTTTTTTTCAAATAAACTATATTTTCTGCGTCAATCACTTGCAATTTTTCAGTTCATCTTCTTTAAGTATGAAATAAAAAACTTGAATGATGGACGATGGTGTGATTTCTTGTGCTTAAATTAGAGGATCAAACCGCAACAAAGTCAACAACGAGCTCATTTTCGTCAATGGTTCAATTGACTTTGATTCCAAGTCTTTTTTTATTGGATTCTTCACGGGCATTACTTGGAAACTGTCTTTTGACTCCTTCAAAATTTTAGATACTATGTACAATTTTTGCATGGCGTGTAAGATCATTTAGTGGCAAGTCACGATTATCCACCCCTGCCAAACTCAGAGAGACTATGGGGAGTTTCACCATGCCTGTGACCACAGTCAAGCAAATTCAACAGTTCAAAATATTAATAAAAACTTTTTAAATGAAAGGTATGTAAAGGATTTGAAGAAATCAACTTACTTATAAGGCAAACTTACTTATAAAACGACCAATTGATAATATGAAGATTAATCTGACTTGTTTCCAAACACAATCTCTTACGTGTAGTAAATTTTAAAGTCAAACATGTGGAAACACAAACAGGGTGACATGAGTGTGGGGGATCGTTGTGCTTCACACGTGAGACAACTTGCTCTGATATCATAAAGAAGATTGAGGTTCCACCACAAAACCAATTGGCAATGTGCGAACCAACTTACTTATAAGTTCTTGCATGGTATCTTCTCTCATCAATGTGAAATTCATTCTCACTCATATCAAATCATATTAATAAAAACTTTTTAAATGAAAGGTATGTAAAGGATTTGAAGAAATCAACTTACTTATAAGGCAAACTTACTTATAAAACGACCAATTGATAATATGAAGATTAATCTGACTTGTTTCCAAACACAATCTCTTACGTGTAGTAAATTTTAAAGTCAAACATGTGGAAACACAAACAGGGTGACATGAGTGTGGGGGATCGTTGTGCTTCACACGTGAGACAACTTGCTCTGATATCATAAAGAAGATTGAGGTTCCACCACAAAACCAATTGGCAATGTGCGAACCAACTTACTTATAAGTTCTTGCATGGTATCTTCTCTTATCAATGTGAAATTCATTCTCACCATATCAAATCATATTACTCTATTTTCTTAAAGTGCAGAGTGACCAAATTCGGTTATTTGATGCACTGTGCAGAGTGACAAATCATATTACTCTATTTTGTTAGGAATAAAATTACAATATGAACTATCAAATTCACTCAACTAAATGTTAGTGTGGACGTGCGACAAGTAAGGTGCTTATGATATAAATTTTGAGCTAAACCAAATTTAACAGATATTTAATTTGATGAGCATGTTTTTTTACAATAATTTATATTCCTAAAACATATAGTACCTTCTTGTTACATAATTTAAAACACGCAGTACGTACACAATTCACAATTTTGAAGGATTTATTGACTGATTCATGTTGAATAGGTCGCTGTTGGAATATAATTATAGGTTAGGTCATAGTCCTCACTTTATCTCTAGTTGTGAGGTTAGGTTGTGGTTACCACCTTACGTTACTCAAATTGTAGTCAACTTCTCTTCATTGATTTATGGCTGCTGTCTTGTTTTCTCTAATTAGTTTTGGTCCAGCAATTAGGGCTTAATTCATGGAGAAGGTTGTGGTGAGGAGTGCGGCGTGTTGTCCAGTGGTATCTGTTCGTTCCCATTCACTATATTAGCTTGTATCTTATAAATCTAACACACATGATGAAATACATAAATTTTGAGGTAGTTGTCAATTTTCTCCCGAACTTGTAAAGAAGCTAGCATTTTTTTTTTTTTGAATTTTAATTTTAGCCAATTACTCCCTTGAATTTTATAATTGACCCATTTCTCACTCTTTCTAGAGACACTCTAGACCACTCACACTCTTCACAAGACTACTCTTACTTTTCACTCTCACTTGGTTGCCTACTATCTTCTTCGATTGGTTTATTGTTACACAGCAACACACACACACACACACACACACACACACATACCTATTTATAGGCATGTTTGCCGACTTCACTAGCACTTTCTAGTGCATGTTCATGCACACACTGCACCGACATATGGCTTTGCATAATAGCCACATATTGTACAACTTGCTAGAACTTTCTAGCACATGATTATACACACACCCCCACCGACTTAGGCATTGCTAGATCATTCTAGCTATTAATCATGCATTGCCACCGACATATGCTTGCTAGAATCTTCTGGAACAATTTCATGCATGTTTGAACTAGTATAATCTAGTTTCTTTGTTTCGATTGATCTTAATGGGTTGGTGTTGATCTTCAACATCTCATTGACCGAAACACTCTATTTTTTAAGAGAATTATTTTGCATCCAATACTACGCAGTAGGTCAAGAACTAAAGAGTATATGAAAGTATACAAAAGAAATGGATTATAATTGGAAGCACTTGAAGTATTGACCTTATGAAAGAACATGGATCGGGTGGAGTTGAGACTTCGACAGTTCCTTTGAGCATCAATTAATGCGACTTTCTTCAAGGTAGGTCTGAGCGAAGGATCCTCCTGAATGGACCATATTGCAATCATCACATACTTTCCATCTTCTTGATGTCATGCATTGCCTCATCGTCATTCTTGATAGCCGGCGCAGATTATTCTGCTTATAGCAATCGTACGCCCAATCAGCTACTATCATTTGATCTTCATCTTCTGCAGCTGCCTATAAATGCTTCCTGCACAAGATAATCTCTAACAACAAAATTACAAAGTGTAAATATCAACCTTGGCCATGATAGGCAACCTATTCAACAATTCAGGGGCCATATAACCTTTTGTTCCCCTGATTCCAGTCGTGATTCAAGTCTGGTCCATTCTCAAAAGCTTGGCTAGTCCGAAGTCAGAAATTCTTGCTGCGTAAGAGTCATTGAGAAGCATATTTTGAGGCTTGATGTTGCAATGTACAATTTGGCTGTTGCACCCCTCATGCAAATACAACAACCCTCTTGCAATTCCCAGTGCAATTTGCCTTCTCTGGCACCAGCTTGGCCAAGACTCTCCAAAAGGGAAGCTTGCTAAAGATCCATTGCTCATGAACTCGTACACAAGCATTCGGTGCTCTCCCTCGTAACAAAATCCAAGAAGCTGTACTAAATTTTTGTGGTTTGTTCTGCCAATAGCACTCATTTCCGCTTTGAATTCCAACCCTTTTCTTCGACCCTACCGAGAAAGCTTTTGACAGCAACGCTCTTCTCATTATCAAAGGCTTAAAACTCCCTTTAAAACTACTGCAGAAGCACCGCGTCCTAGTTCATCCTCGAATTCGTTCATAGCGTTTTTTAGCTCCTCATAAGTGAAATGCTTCAAATTCATATCAGAGATGACTGGATAAGGTTCACTCATATTCGCATTTCTACAAGAAATACGAGAAACACCAAATAGGTTGTGATAGGATTTTTAGAACCTACGAAAAAAGGTTAAAATCACACAAAATACTTGCAAGAGTACAAGGTTGTTGTAGTATATATGCTCATGTAAGGTCGTTCTCCACAAGGACTATTTAAATAATTTATGTAAGACCAATTCCTAATTAATTACTTGAAACTAGAAATTGAGAAAAGAGATTTTGAATTTGGGTAATATTAAAAACCAAATAATAAATTTGGCCAAGATTAAGAAGATAAAAGAAAAGAGTTTTTAAATACCTATTTATAAAAGCACTAGGGTTCCGCCATCATCTAACAATCCTATGTTTTTTTTTTATCACTTACTTATGATCTACACATGCCATTTTGAAGGTTAGGTTTTCCTAATATATATTCTACTTGGAACCTCCAATATAGAACGTATATCTAACATGCAACTTGTCCGGACGTTCGGATCAAATATGAACATGAGAGACTCATTATGTTTTGTGAAAACCCTTTAAAAAATCATGCAATTAAATATGAACATGAGAGACTCATTATATTTTGTGAAAACCTTTTGAAAAACCATGCAATCCTTAAGACGTAATGTTCATCTTAAGTGAAATTACAATTACTAACCATAAGAAGCCAGCGTTAATTTCAGGGAACCTTTTGACCAAAATTGCATCAAATTACGTTTCTAAAGATCCTAATGGTGATCAGGCATTAAGACAATTAGATAGCTTAAAACGGTGATCAATAATTCAAAGTATGCATGCTATCAATCACAAGCAATTAAATAAAAATTGCACATTCATGCTAAGGCTCAAGGCTTTGCCCTAGCAAAACGAATTACTTACACATATTCATAATTAAAATAAGAGAAAATATTATTACGAAGAAAAATATTGAAAACACCTTAAAGTAAAAATTTGAAAATCTTCAAGAACCCTAGCCAATTTCCTATCTCCAAAATCGCATAAAAGAAGAAAAAGTAAAAGAATAGAGCCGGCCAAAACCTTTTATGCTCAACATAAGCGATCCCCTAATAAAAGTCTTTGGATCAGACTAGGAAACCAAATAATAATAAATTATACTAAAAAATAAAATCCCAATTAAGCTAGGAGAATATGCAAATAAACTGTCCAGCTTTTTAGCCTTAAATCTCATCCAAATCCAGCCCATGACTACTTGTTTTAAAGATCGAAACATTCTAAATACATGTACAGAAGATGCTGAATCCAAGATACCATGTTGGGCTCCAAAACTCGCAATCAAGCCTAAAACGTCATTTTTCCAACACCGCGCACTGCTTATTTATTCTATCGTCAGAAAATAACCACTTGGTGGAAAAATCTAATATTTTGATACGATCAAGATAAACGAATCACAAATGTCCCCCAATTGGAATTAATCCAAAATTCATCCATTTGATTACGTTTTGCTCCAGAGGAAATCAAAAGTCTTATATTAAAAATACAATTCAAAATCTCAAAATTCTTCCAAAATAATAATAAAAACATACTAAGAATAAGGTTAAATGTACAATATAATATTTGACTCACCAGGTTGTTAATAGAAAAATCAAGTTTAGAAACCCCTAGCTACTCAAGAGCACTGATCCGATGAGGATCAAGGTTGAGCAATCTTTCTTTTCGTATTTGGAACTTCAAGTGACAAAGTAGAGTTGTAGAATGTCTTGTTTAATTGTATTGTATTTCATAGTTGTAACAATGTACAAGGTAACATACATATAGGAGAAAGGAAAGCTGGTTACAAGCAACCAACTAGCTAAAGAACCCTAGTGACCAGTTACTTCTATGTCTACTACAAATCCTTGAAATAAGGGATTTACACAAAGAACCAAGTTAGGATAAGTTAATCAACATGTCAATTCCCTTAAATCAAGGAAGAGAAGAGAGAGCCGGCGTTGACATTATTGCATTTATGAATATGGTTTCTATCGATGCAAATTTTTGCCATCTTCAATCTTACGAAAGTGCACCTGCAAAACAATCAACAACTTTGATCAAAGACCAAAAGCCTCACACTCCCACTATGTATGGGGATTTGGCCAATGGATCTTTGATGCCTAAGTTAGTCTCTATGAAAAGAGTGAGTGTTTAGGGTTTTCTATCTATAGAAAGGCTTCACCTGTTTTTGGTGGAGAAATAGGATATTTATAGAGAGTGGACAACCTTTAGGGTAGGATTTAGTGAGAACATTACCAAGATATTCTGTAAATAATATCTTGAAAATAAAGGTAATTATCCATAAATAAATGTAATTGGGATTATTTACTTGATAGAGTTTGTCTTCAATTAGGAATGTATTAAAGATATGATTTCTTAATTAATCATATCTGTAATCCCTTTGACTTTTCCTTGCCATGAGCAAGGGAGCTTTGAGCAATTGTAGTCCACTGCCTGCATCTCCTAGAATGTTGAGATGCACGTAGGATGCCCTGCTCATTTAATAAGGGAAATCTCATCTTTCGTGGCAACACATGTTGCCTTCAGGATTTTTGGGATTATTTTTGGCTCCACAGTTTCAGCTAGGGTTTTGAACAATCAAGGGAGTAACCACTAGATAAAAGCTTCAATACTTCAATACTCTCTCTAAAGTTGGATCAAGGAGATTTATCAAGCCAAGCTTGCCTAAAAGACGATAAAATTGAGCAGAAGTCAAGGCCTTAATGAATAGATCAGCTAGTTGTTCATGATTGCGAGTAAACACATTATGACTAACTTGCGATTGGACTTATGCTCGAATAAAGTGGCAGTCCACCTTGATGTGTTTGGTTCTTTTATGACAGACTGGATTGGCAGTAATGTGCATAGCTGCCTGGTTGTCACACATGAGTGGCATCGAGTTGGAACTAATGACCCCAAGTCTGAGAGAAGTCCCTTGAGCCAAATTACTCACATGCAGTGGCTGCCATTGCACAATTCTCAGCTTCTGCACTAAATCAAGCAATGCATGTTGCTTCTTGCTTTTCCAAGTCACAATGTTACCTCCAACACCTATGCAATAACCTGTTGTTGATTTTCTATCAATGACATTCTCTACCCAATATGCATCAGTGTATCCATTGATCTATGTGGATTTGTTGTTTTGCATGATGATGCCTCTGTTGATAGACCATTTGAGATAACGTTATATCCTTGTTTCCATACTGAGATGCTCAATGGTGGAAGCATGCATAAAGTGGCTGACCAACCTCATAACATATGCGATATCTGGACGAGTGATTGTAAGATATGTAAGTTTACTAACAAGCCTTTGATAATAACTTGCATTGTGAAGAGCTTCCTCATCCATGGTCAACTTGAGTTTACTATCAATAAGAGATGTGGCAGGTTTGCAATCAAGTATCTTAGCCTCCTTGAGAAGGTCAACTACATATTTTCTTTAGTTCAAAAATATGCCTTTGGAAATGGTTGCCATTTCAATGCCAAGAAAGTATTTCAATCTCCCAATTCCTTTATGGCAGAGGTTTTATGTAGTGAATGTTTCAAGGCAGCAATTTCAGTTGCATTGTCACCAATAAAGATGAGATCATCCACATAAATAAGTACCATCAATTTCCCACTTGTTCCAGTTCGAAATGAGGAATCAACATTACTCCTCAGAAAACCTGCTATTTCTAACACTAAGCTGAGCTTGGCATACCATGCTTGTGGAGATTGTTTTATTTCATAGATTTCCTTGTGTAGTTTACAGATAATACCATTACATTTTCGAAAACATGTATTATTACGTAATGTATGGCCATGGTAATTCTAATTTATGAATATTAGAATTTATATGATTAATACTAACTTTTCAGACTGAATATGACCTGGTGGTGGTTGCATATACACTTCTTCATGGAGTTCATCACAAAGAAAGGCATTCTTCACATCTATTCGATACAATGACCATCCACAATTCACTGCCACTGAGAGTAAAACCTTACTATATTCATTCTAGACACTGAAGCCAAGTGTTCCTTGTAATCCACTCCAAAGGTTTGAGTGAACCCACGAGCAACAAGTTTGGCTTTAATCCAATCCAAAAGGTTTAAGTGAACCCACAAGCAACAAGTCTAGTTCACTCAATGGAAGAGCAACCTCCACAAGCATTTTGAGACATACGAGGATCAGACTATTGATTTAGCACAGGGGTGCCCCATGGAGTTGGTGAAGCGCCATGAAGATTGGGTGTGGCTCAACACCCATTTTAAGGACGAAAAATGCCTCGTAAGTGAATTATATATATTATTACAGGTTAATAATATTTTATTAATATTTTAATACGTTTATTAATTTATTTGAATAATTTTAATTAATATCAGCACTAATACGGTTTGTTTTTGTTTTAACGTAAAATAGCCAAGGCCAACGAGATAAATATGTTGAAGAAAAAACTTCTTTACCATTCCGGCTCCGGGCACTTCTCTTACAGGATGAGGGAGCAATGTCAGACAAACACGTTTTTTTAGATTTTTTTAATACTTTTAATCTCTATTATACAACTAATAACATATTTGTTCTTATTTTTTAATTCAAGCGGGGTCAAAGTTTCCTAAGATTGACGAATTCAAGGAGGTGTACATACGGCTCGAGGATGAGTTGAAGGAGGAGCTCCATGTAAGTTTTTTCAATTCTTGAATTCATAATTATTATTCATTTTAAATAAATGTTATATAAATATTAATTAACTTGTTTTTATTATTACAGGCTACTATGGTGGAGATGAGCCAGGCTGTCCTCGACGAGGTGGCTTCCCATCTTCCCCATGACATCCCGATCGAGAAGGTCGCCTCCCCCAGGATGCGGGTCTTCGTATCATGATGGACACCCTCAATTACAGACTCTGTCTTAGGTTGGGGAAGGTGTATCGGGGCATAGGGAATGCCCACCATTGTGAGACGGAAGCCTCCTCTTCCAACTTGACCTCGGAACAGGTTGCATCATTGATGGAGCGAGTTACGGAACTCCAGCAGCAGGTAGCGGCTCATAATGCTCACATTGTGACCCTAACTGCCCACATCGCCATCCCGAATGCCCATATTGCTGCCCAAGAGTCTAGGATGGCCCAAATCATCTCCACACTTCAAATGTTTGGCTTTAACATCCCCGCTAGTGGACTTATCCTCATACACCTTCGACCTCCTAGGCCTTTAACCCAGCACAGCCGACTGGCAGAGTTGATAGTGATGATTTTGTGTTGTAACTTCTTTTTTTTTAAACTTTTGTACTTTTTAAATTTTATCCGACTTATACGTACATTTTTATATTTATTTTAAATTAATATTTTTCCTTATCAATTACTGTTCCTAAATTAATTTAACTTTTCAAAATTATTTTGTTTAATATTCATTTTATAAACTTTTTTTTTTTTTTTTTTTTAAAATTTAAAAATGGTTTGTGCGACGAAAGAGTTCGTTGTCCCCCAGTAATACACGCAACGACAATGATAAATCTTGGGATAAGAAGTCCTTCGTCCCTCTAAACTTTATGCGACGAAGTGTCTCTTCGTCACTCTGTCCTTGCGCCATGTACATTTTCATCCCTTTACACTAAGTGCGACGAAACAACTGTTCATCGCGCATAACATTTTGTGCAACGAATGTGCTCTGTCCCTTTTAACTTAGTGCAAGGAAGCATCACTGTGCAAAGACTATTGCGCAACGATTGTTCTTCTCTTCATCGTGCAAGACCTTTCTTTACGATCATTGCGTGAGGAAGTGATGGCGATGAAGGTTTCTTCGTGTGTTATTTTAGACGACGAAATTCTTCTTTGCGCAACGTTTATTGTTTCATCGTGATAACTATTTAAATGTAGTATTGTCTGGAACCAGACGACGCCACTTTGGAGCGTGGAATCTAGAATCGGACGACGTCGTTCTGGAAGTAACACGTCTTCGTATCCAATTTCATAGTTTTCCTTTTTCTATTTTTTTAATATTATATTTATTATAAGGAAGTATCAATGCTGACGTGGTACAACTGACGATGTCGCTCTAGTGAAATTTAAAAGGAAGTATCACGATTGACATGGTACTACGGTACCATATGGATTTGGATCCTCTCTTGAGCTCAGCATCCTGAGCCTACTGAGCAAATTATATGGACCATTGAATTTTGATCAAACGGTTATAAATAGAAAGTCTTTTAAAAATTATAATAATTGTAGCCGTTGGATTTTGATCCAACAACCCATGTTATTTGCTCAGTAGGCTTAGGATGTTGAGCTCAGGAGAGGATCCAAATTGGTACTATATTATAGTTTCACGTTGAGAAGTAGACGGCGTTAACATTATTGTATTTATGACTAGGGTTTCAGCTAGGGTTTGAACAATCCAGGGAGTAACCAATGGACAAAAGCTTCAATACTTCAAGGAGTTGTCTTTCCTTACTTTGATGAGAGCTTTTCCACCAATACTCGGGTCCATTCTTCCATTCGAAAGAGGAATTCTCTTCTTTTCACACTCTCTATCCTTGAAAATGGCAACGACACAAAAACAATCGTCTAAGCAATTCTGTCTGCACCATTCCTCCGATACTGATGTAAATTGCTCATAACCACCGCCAGCCCACTCTGTGCTTTGCATCTCGTGAAAATCAAAACTCTCTGTCTCCGGCAAGGCCGCATCACAACTTTGTGAAACAAAGTTTTGCTTGCATCCTTTCAAGATATCATTGGGATCAATAAATGTGTAGCCATAAGGACATTGGCAAGTTGGTCCTTTATCATTATAACTGCAGAGGCTGTTGTATCCACATGCACCGCTGCCTATGGCTCCTTCAATTCTTAAGCAAATATTGGAAGGTTCGGAGGTCAAAGGGGACCAAGCCATGGGGCTTCCGGCACTTGAGGCAGCGGTTTTAGGATGAACAGAGTGCCTCAAAACTCCGTCATGCTCCAGAGTTACTTTATGGTAGAAATTTTGCATGGAAACTGTGTTGGATGATACCATATTCAGTATGCTTCCGTTCTTTGCAGTAAGGTAAAGATAGCCGGACTGATTGAAGATGAACTGAAAGCCGGCATACATAGTCATGGTTGCAAAGTAAGCAAAATTGTTTGTCGGCAGCGGGAATCTCGTTGTGTAAAGCAAGAGATTTCCGTCAGATTGTAGAATAAACATGAATCTTCCCCGTGAGTAATTTGTCGCTGTGTAGCGCGCAAAGAGTTTGTCGTTCTGATTTAGAATCTGTGTAGGTAGTATTGTATCCGTTGGTTCATCAAAACTCTCCCACACATTGGATGAACTTCGATCCGCCAGTACAAAATTTCCAGTGTCTAGCATGGATGCATAGGCAACTCCAGGACCAACAAATTGAGCAGACCATATGCGCTTGCCGGTTGCATCATTGAGCATAAACTTGCCACCGTTCGAAAGCTCAACTTTGGATCCCTCTGGAACTAGATTGTCCCCATTGGCTGACCAGACTATAGTTTTATCTTTTATCTTATCGAACCAAATGGCTAGTAAGAACCCATCTTTTCCGATTCTTTGAAAACCGAAAGCAAAGTCACCAGATGGCGATGTCCATGACGATGAGTTATCTTCATTTAGTGCAGTGAGAGATGAGCCTAAAGAAATGTTTTTGGAGGTTTGAGCTAGGGTGGAAAATGGTAGAAACATGAAAAGGAAGAAGAAGAGAAGATTTATCAGTGGACAAGCCATGGGAAAATTACGAAGGTGACGAAAAATTTCAAACAAACTATAATTTCTGTGTCAATCACTTGCAATTTTTATTTCATCTTCTTCAAGTATGAAATTAAAAACTTAGCTGCTGGAAGACGATGTAATTTCTTGTGATTAAATGAGAGGATCCAACTACAACAAAGTCAACAATGAGCCCTTTTCGTCAATGATTCAATTGGATTTTTTTTCCAAGTCTTCTTTTTGGATTTTTCCAGGCATTACTTGGAAATTGTTTACTTTGACTCTTCAACTTTATGTACTTTGTTCAATTTCTGCATGGCGTGCAAGAAAATTTTGTTTTCTGAGTATTCCGAGATGCATGGATGAAAAGTTCAAGACACTAATAAAAACTTTTTGAATGAAAATTATGTTACGGATTTGAAGAAATCAATTTACTTATAAGCCAAACTTACTAATAAAACAACCAATTATAATATGAGAAGCAATTAGATTTACTTTTCAATGCAATTCCTCACGTGTGACGAATCTTAAAGTCAAACATATGAACAACACAAACATGGTGACGTGAAGTGTGAGGTTGTTGGGCTTCATACGTGAAACAACCTGTTCTGATATCATAAAGAAAATTAAGATTCCACCACCAAACGAATTGGCAACGTCGGAATCAACTTACTTATAGGTTCATGCAAGGTCTCTTCTCTTATCAATATGAAATTCATTCCCACCATATCAAATCATATTACTCTATTTTGTCAATTTTCTCCCGAAGCCGGCAATTTTTTCATGAACTTTAGTTTTATCCAATTACCCCTGAACTTTTATAATCAATCCATTTCTCCCCTAACATTAAATTTTGGAATTTTTCATCCAATTTTCCATCCATCTTGTCAGCACATATCAATTGTCTGAGGGAAAAAATGTATGCTATTGATGCGCATACACGGTGAAACCTCAAATTTCAACATGAACAATTACTCTTTCAACAAAAAATTGACTCTGAATTCTGAACTACAAATTTCAAGATTTTGAGTTTTCTTTGATCAAATAACAAAGAAACAAACACTTAAATTATTGAACTCATAATGAGGATGGATTCGGTGGAACTGAAACTTCAACAGTTCCTTCTAGCATCTGCGTGACTTTCTTCATCATCGGTATCAGTGACGGGTCCTCTGAATGCACCACATTGCAATCATCACGTAGTTCTCCATCATCTTGACGTCTTCCATTGCCTCACCGTCCTTGTCCGGTAGCAAATTCAGCTTCTTTTGCATATAGAAATCATATGCCCAATAAGCTAGTATCAGCTGATCTACATTATCTACATGTTCTTCAAAATTATTCCTCCAACAAATAATTTCTAGTAACAAAATGCCATAGCTGTAAACATCCACCTTCACTGGGATAGGCATGGTTTTTAACCTGTGAGAATGTGAAAGTAAAAGAGCCCCACATTGGTGAAAAGAGAAACCTTGCAATGACTTATAAGAGGTTGGGCTACTCTCCATTAGTGGCAGAGCCAAGATTTTACGTCAGGAAGGGCCTCACACAAATGTTAAAAAAATAAAACAAAAATATAGTATTTATAAGAGGGTAGAATACATGACTTGTCAGCTAATTAAAGTTTTTGAGGCACTGAATGCTTTTTTCATGTTGAAATTAACCTTCCAATATCAAGTTAATATAGAGAGTAATTAATACAAAATTGGGGAGGATTAAGAGAAATAAACCTTCCAATATCAAGTTAGCTTTATTAATTCGACACAAGAAATGAAAAATAGGATGGATTGTGTTGTAAACTTTCCTAGTTTAAGTGTGATTGTTAAATCCTAGATTAGATTTGATTCTAATTATCCTTTCCTATTACAACTTGTATTCCTTGGGGATGAAGGATTTCCTCTCTCCCTTATTATTATAAATAAAGGCATTACGTAGAAGGGATAACACACACATTTTCCTACGATTCTACAAACACATCTCTCTCTCAGTCTCTCTCCTTGCCGCCAGCCCCCTTCCCGTTGTCAGATAAAATACAACATAGTGGGAATTTTCGAACAAAAAAAGAGAAAAATGGATCTAGAATTTAGAGAACAAAATATATGAAATTTTATAAATTTAGTAAAAAGTTAGAGAGAATAGAGAGATTTATAAATCTTAATATTGTTGTGGGTTGGAATTTGAAGGACAAACCATAGAGTTTGAGAATAAGTCCTTTAAATAGAATTATCCCACTCTAACTAACATTGAGGCCTTTTGTGATTAAATCCCCACACCTGACGGATTCAACAGGTGGCCAAGTGGGGACATTATCGGTGTGGTTGGAGTGGGCCTTTGGCCCGTCTACCTAAAATTTAACATGGTATCAGAGCTAGGGGACATGCTCGTACTGCCACGTGAACGGGTGGGTCCCCTTTGACCCTATGCGAATGGGTGAGCCCCGACATGGCTCCACGTAGGCCAAGAGATGCCACGTGCCACTGGCCCAGCGCGAACGAGTGAGCCCCAGCTTGGCTCCATGTGGTTGCTGATGTGTGGAACTCCACGTGTGATCCATAAAGCTTTCTAAAGGAACAAATTGTTGAAATATCCCACATCGACGGTATATGTGAGAAAATGAGAGTTTAAATATCCTAACCCCACTCTAACTTATAACATTAAGATCTTTTATGATAAAACCCCATACATGTCGAACTGTATAGGTGCAGGTGGTAATTAACAAGTTGGGAACAATATAGATGTAATTAACAAGTTGGGGACAATATAGATGTTATTGAAAGCATTTTTGTATAAAACTCCATACATGTCGGACCATGCAGGTAGTAATTAACAAATGTGCAGGTAGTAATTAACAAGTTGGGAAAAATAAAGGTGCTATTAAAAGTGGGTCTTTGACCCGTTTCTCTGATAGTTTGACAACCAGTGCTCATTGGAGATAAGAAATCAGTGCTGCCCTTCGTCGCAGAACCCAATCACTTGGACTAAATATATGTGGTTTTTCTTCCAATTGCGCTAACTTCAGCTTTGAATTTCGACTCATTTTTCCCGACCATAGTGTCCATTTTTTTTTTTTTTTTTGGGTAAACTAGTGTCCAATTTTGTGCAGCAACAAATTTCCCATTATCAAATCCCGAAACTCCTTTAAAAACTGTAGCAAAAGAGCCATGGCCTAGTTCTTCCTTGAATCCGTTAGTTATAAAACTCTTATGTGAATGACAATGAGTAATGCCGAGAATAATGGAGCACTAAGATGACTTGAGTTACAAGTCATTGATATGCTTAAGGATTCTCAGAGCCCTAGTGTTACAAATATATTGGAGTCTTAATGACATACAATCAATTAAGAACTCTCAATATAAGTAATGGCTTAATTGGATTATTAGTCCTGGTGATAATAGGGTAGTTGGAAGATAACCTTCTGGCAAATAAATTAGGACTTAACCCTTGTATTGAAGTCTGTTAGGATTTAGGTCCAAATTTAATTAAAAAGCCAAAGATCCAAAAGAGCAAAAGAGAGCAAAGGAATGAAGACCCTCACTTTGAGTGAATAGTGTTTGCAAATGCAAAGAGCATGTACAAAGGTATAATGGATTCTCAACTCTCTCTTCGAATTTGAGTTGAGTCTTGATTCACTACACTACTAGAATTTGAATTTCATGGTTAAGATTTGTTTTTTACTACATATGTACAAGCTTCTGCCTCTTAATTGTTAATTGTTCATTGTATGTTGCTAAAATAATCTTAGTTTAGCCAAATTTTCCCTTCAGATTGTACAGTGTGACATCAAACCTCGAAAGATTCTTCTCGACGACTCTTTCTCCGCAAGAATTTCTTTGGATTAGCCAAGTTTGAGAATCGACCAGACTCGAACTACGACTGGAATGAGGGGACGAAAAGGTATGTGGCCCCAAACGGTTCAAAAACTTCCCCATCACTGTGAAGGTGGATGTTTACAGCTTTGGCATTCTGTTGTTGGATATTATTTGCCACCATAAGAAATTTGAAGAAGAGGCCAAGGATGAAAATCATATGATACTGGCTGATTGGGCGTACGATTGCTATGAGCAAAACAAACTGCACCTTCTATTTCCAAATGGTGGCGAGGCAATGGAAGACATCAAAGAGATGGAGAAGTACGTGATGATTGCAATGCAATGCATTGAGGAGGATCCATCGCTGAGACCCACCATGAAGAAAGTCACATTGATGCTCGAAGGTAATGTAGAAGCCTCAGTTCCTCCTGATCTGTGATTCCGTCCTCTTTCACAAATTCTACATTTTAAGTGCTTTCAGTTATAGTTACATGCTTTTATATGTTTGATTATCAAGTACTTCAGTCTAAACCGCCAGCTTGCCGTAAGTCAGATAGTCATTAACTTAATATTTGGTAATTAATGTAATGGAAAATGAATAATTCCTCTACTTATTGGGACATCTTAAAAGAATTATTATACATTTGACTACACAGTAAGTAAAGAACTTAAGAATACTTGCACATGAAAAATACACAAACCCTTGATATCCAAAAGAAATTGATTATAATCGGAAGCACCTAAGGTATTAAACTTATGAAAGAAGACGGATCGGGTGGAGTTGAGACTTCAACAGTTCCTTCGAGCATCAATGTCACTTTCTTCATCTTGGGTCTGAGCGAGGGGTCCTCCTGAATGCACCATATTGCAATCGTCACATACTTCTCCATTTTCGTCACTTCAAGCATTGCCTCACCGTCATTCTTGAATATCAGCTGCAGTTTGTTATGCTTATAGCAATCATACGCCCAATCAGCTAATATCATTTGGTCTTCATCCTCTGCCATTGCATTAAAATGGTTCCTGCAAAAAATAATTTCTAACAACAAAATACCGTAGCTGAAAACATCAACCTTGACCATGATAGGCAAGCCTTAATTTGAACCATTCAGGGGCCATATACCCTTTCGTTCCCCTGATTGCAGTAGTAGTTTGAGTCTGTTTTATTCTCAAAATCTTGGTTAATCCGAAGTCAGATATTCTTGCCTT